GTTCTAAACCTAATTTCTAATATATTTTAACATCTAAAAACCTACATTCTAATATGAGGTTCTGTTTTTTTATAACTTTTAAAATTTTTCAGGCCATCGGCAAGCAGTTTATTATCCCACGTTTTCTTCAAACAGGTAAGCTGACCTTTTTCTGTTGTCTAGGAGTTTTTAAATATTATTAAAAAGTCACTTCATTTTATTGGCTTAATGGGACAGTTTGGTTACCAAGGTTCTTAATAATTTTCTTGAAAGATCAAGTTAAAATCAAGAAAACATTTTGGTAGTTCAGTTACAGACTTTCTAAAATACATCCATTCTGCCACAACAGGTAAAAACAAATGGAATATCATCATGTATTACTATATTCTCAGTTTCCTTTAATTCTTATTACTTTAATTTTATTTTTCTATATTATCTAGAAATGACTTAAAGGCAAAATAATCCTGATAAAAATCAGTTTATTTGGCTCTCACTTCTTCCTGTTTTCAGATGACCAGAATCAATGGCATTTTTAGTGAAAACCCCTAAAAACAATTTTAAACACTTTTAATGATTTCTTTGGGCGTTATTTATTGCTAACAAAACCAATGTATTGAGTTTATAAACCAAGAGCCTTATTTTGAGTTTCTTCAACAGATGAAGGAAGAGAGCCAGGATTCCCTACTTTCACTGTTGCCTCCTGCTTATCACAAGCCGTCAATAGCACTGCCTCCAGCGTCACCTTGGATTGAGCCAGAATGTGATTTTCCTGATGAAAAAGACTCAAATTGGGAATTCTAGGGCTGCCAAATTCTTTTATGTCCTACATACTTGACACTTTCTCCCTGCTGCTTTGCTTCTGTATTGCTAGGTACAAATACTAGGATTATACTTGAAAATACAGTTGGTGCACTGGAGAACCTCTCATTTAAAACCACTCTATTCAAAGGAGCATGAGTCTGTGGCCCTTCGGTTAGCTCAGAGTGCTATTACAACTCCAGGGAAACTTCAGAATTATAAATTCAGCTACATTTAGTGTCACCTGTTCTCAGATTTGTTCCCCAAAGCTGTGACTAACTCTTCTTGCTAAAAACTCTCAATATATTAAGTTTTTGAGCCAGTTAATCCTTTCAGCATTTTGCTGCCCTCAGGGGAATGAGCCCTCAAAGGACAGTGCTTCCAAGTACATTTTTTTTTACTTCCAGATTCTCTAGCCTTTGTGATCACCTATTGTTAGACCAACAGGCTAGTTTATCCTGGCATCAAACTCTTTTCTGGTAACAGGGAGAATGTTTATACTTTCCCATTTTCCTCTGTTAATACTTATGGTAATATGAAACTGAGCCTCACTCACATTAAATGATTCACTTGAAATATATAGAGATGTTGTGGGTTTGTTTTTCTTTTTTTAAAAGGGGCTAAAGTAACACTTTTCTACTTATATAAATCATGGATCCTGAATTCATGCACCCCGTGGGAGCTCAATAAAGATTTATTGAATTGAGTTTATGCTTTTACTTACTTTCTTTGTGTGGTTTGATAAAACCTAAAACATAGATTCGAATTTGTTTTGCCAAGGAAAGCCGGTTTGCAAACAAATAGGTTTATTTACAGAACCTGTGAATTGGGGACAACCTGGTATTTGATTCAATGGAGGGAGATGTTCTGGTCCTTTATATGATTATTCTTGCTCCTGTAGGTGATGCATCATACAATGACATGGAGATCTTAATTCATGGTATTACCATAATAGCAAAAGAGAAATGCTGTGTCTCAAAGAGAGTATGTGGTTTGAACTGTGGTAAATTGGGACCTCTCTCAGCGGATTTTCTTAATCTGTATGCTTTTACTTAACATTCCATTAAAATTATTTTAAAATGATTGGCTTAAGACTAAAAAGTTAAAACCAACGATACAGTGTATAAATTACTAGACAATTGGAAACAAACCTTTTCATGTTTATTGGCTAGCCCCCATCAAGAATGTTTAGGTCCCTCCATCAAGTAAGCCACAAAGACCTGCCAGGGTGGAGGAGGGAGAGAGAAGAATGAGCAGAGGCCCTCAGATCACATGTAGTGATAGGGGCTACAGTAGTCCTCTAATCTTCTAAATTCCCCTTCAGCAAGAGGGCATCGCAGATAGCATCGAGGAGGTTCTCCAGAATCAGGTGGAGTGTTGATAGGCGTAATGCCAAAGAGGGCTGTGAAGACCATGGAACAGTGCCCCTCGGATCTCCTGAGGGTGTATTACTGTTCTCCAGAGAAACAAAACCAACAAGAGATGTATTATGAACTGCCCCACACAATTAGGGAAGCTAACAAGTCCCAAGATCTGCAAGGTGAATGGGCAAGCTGGAGGGGAACCTAGAACCAGAGGTGTTCCAGGCTGAAGACCCAGGAAGAGCTGATGTTTCAGTTTGAGTCCAAAGGGCAGGAAAAAGCAGATGCTCCCGTTTGAGGTGCTCAGGCAGGAGGGGTTCTTTTCCTCAGGGGAGGGTCAGCGTTTTTGTTCTCTTCAGGCCTTGAGCTGGAGAGGCCCACCCATATTAAGGAGAGCAATCTGCTTTATTTAGTATACAGACTCATGTTAATTTCATCCAGAAGACCTCACAGAAACACCCAGAATAATGTTTGACTAAATATCTGGGCACCCTGTGGCCCCATCAAATAGACACATGAAATGAACCATCATAGTAGCTATTGTATTGAACAATATTTGACTGATAGCCTTACCCTGAGAATGTCTTAAATTTTGTACCACCGGATCCCTGCTTGCTGTATTAGTTCTCTGTTGCTGCTGTAACAGATTACTGCAAATTCAGTGGCTTAAAACAACACAGATTTACTATTCTACAGTTCTAGAGGTCAGAAGTTTAAAATGAGTTGGCAGGGCTGTGTTCCTTCTGTAGGCTCGGGGAGGATCTGCTGCCTTGTCCAGCCTCTAGAGGCTGCCTGCCACCCTTGGCTTCATGCGCCAGCATTACTCCAACTTCCGTTTCCGTGATCACATCTTTTCTAATGCTGACCCTTCTGCCTCTCATTTATGAAGAGGCTTGGGATTATTTTGGGCCTACCCAGGTAATCCAGGATAATCTCATCTATAATCTCATTGCAAGACTCCTAATTTAATCACAGATGCACAGTCCTTTTTGCCATGTAGGTTACCATATTCACAGGTTCCCTGAAGTAGGATGGATAGATGGTCATTCTGCTTTCCACACCTGCCCAATCATCGCAGTGTCGGCTTTCTGAAGGACCCGAGCTAGCACAGGCGCCTTAGCTAAAATGCCTTCGTGTGAGCTTCTATATAGCCTTTCCCAAAGAGCGCTGATACAGCCCTATTATAACCACTTCTGTGTGTATGTCTCTAACAGTTTGTGGACTCCTTCAAAATACTCTTATTCACTAGACTATTCCTAGTGTGTAGCAAAGTGTTTGGCATATTATGGACATTTAGTATATATTTAAGGAATTCAACATCGAATAAAGGTTATGAGATTTTTTTTTTAAATAACTTGAAAATTTGAGATTTCCATGGTAGGAAATTTTAAACTCTTTTGTGTGTCACAGTATTGCCAGTAAGAGTTTAAAGTGAGTCTAAGGGATTTCAGATTTCCATCTAGTGTTTCCTCCTTTACTGCAAGCCTGATCAATGGTCGTCCTTTTTAGTACTGCCGGCCATCAGCCTGTTAGCTCTTAAACCCATTTCTCCCCCCTTCCCTTGCTCCGCTTCACTGGGAACTACAACACATTTCCCACGCACTCCCACTCTGGTTTCCAGGGGGGCAACAGTGGAAAATCAGAGGGCAAGGACAGAGAGGGGAGCCGTGCTATTTCTCTCCCTTTCCCCCGACTCTTCTGTTTGTTCTCATGTCTCTGGCAGTGACTGTATTCTTTTCTTCTGGCTTTAGGACTCTGCTGGCACCCCTCGCTCCTGCGGTCTCTTCCGTGTGAGGGGCAGTCGTACTCCCTGCTAATGTCTGGACTCACCATCCCTTTTGGTTTCTTAGCCATCATTCCATCACTCATGAAACCAATTCCCTGTATTTTTTTCTACTTGAAAATTCAGAGTTATATGTGTTTTCCCAGTCACGCTGTGACTGATACAAGTGCAATTTAGAATTACTAGAAAATCTTGGTCTCCCCCAAAAAAAAAAAAAAAAAAAATTACAGCCTGGATTATACCATTAAATGAATGAGCAGGAATTAGGTTTTCCATCAGCCAATGTAGTTAAACCCCATAGTTTTTATGATTTGTGGGAGAAAAATTGAAACTGACAAGAAGTCTATAAATTAAAGTGTTTGCTTCTCAAGAATGAAGCAAAGTTCAACGCGATCCAAATACTGTACTTGACAGGAAGAGAGCCAATTTTCAGAAGTCTCGGATTTAAATCCTAGGTTGTGTAGATAACTTTTTTACACAGTTTCTGCAATTTTATGCAGTTTCTTGAGTTTTGTGTTATTAAAGAGGCCCTTTCATAGTTTTTAAATTAAGAAAGTCACTGCAGTGTAGGAGATGCCTCGAGAAGTATTAAATCTGTTCTTTATTATCTTTGCAGTATAAAAAGTTGTAATATCCAATATTAAAATGAACAAGTTCTATAGGTCTAGAGAATTGCATTCTGTTGAAACAAGAAATAGAACTAAGGCTGAAGAGTAAAAGGCTAAATAAATGCAAATACAGAACCTGAAAACCGGGTGGGCAGGGATAAGTTAGAGCATAACAAAAATTTGAGAAATCAGAGAACTGTGAAATGGGAGTGGTATTGTTACATAGTGAAAAAGAGGAAAATCGGGTATTTCTTGGTTTGTTCCTGAAGGCTCATAAACAAAAATACATTTACATCAAAAAGTGTTTCTTTTCATTTTAATGAAAACAAAATGGTTCTAACAAGATGAAATTTGGTTGCTGACTTCTATCACACAGAAGGACAGACTCCACACCATTTTGTTAATTGGAGAAATGGTATTCTCACTGTTGGCCTCACATACCATTCTGAACTCTTTAACAACTGGATAATATCACGAATGAGCAAACATTTTTTTGGGCTGTGTTTTATGGATATCATAATCTGGGATGGTATCATTTCGATGAACTAAGCCTGCTGAAACCATTCGAGGACTTGTACATTTTCCAGTGTAGCTTTCCCGTCGTTTATTAACCTCTGGAGCAGTATACGGTCTTGCAGAGTGTTTTAACCGATCGTGGTTCTCATCTGGGCTCTTTCCTGAAAGCCTTGCTCTTGATGTCAATTTTCCAAGATGCTGAAAAGAGGTCATAGGTGAATCCTCAAATCTATCCGAACAATCCTAAACATTAAAATAAAAGGTCAAGTTGGTAAGTTAGGCCTCTAATGGAGGGCACGTTGACAGCTAGTGGGGGGACGTGGGGGGGGCAGGGAGTATAGCGGGGGAGGGATTAAGCAGAAAGGAAAAAGGACCCATGGACATGGGCACCAGCGTGGTGAGTGCTGGGGGCAGAAGGGTATAAGGGGACTAAATGGTAATGGGAAAAAAACACAATAAAGATTACATTGAAAAAGTACATTTTAAATTTATAAGGACCAAAGTTTGTAATATCCACAGTTAAGAAAAAAATGAGAGCTAAATTCATATCCTACACCCGATACCTCTCATTAGAAACTCTAATATTATAGAAATCATGCTTTAGAAAAAAAAATATTGTTTCAAAGGATCTGTTTTTTTCAAAAGAGATAGAAGATACAAAACTTGAAACCAGATAAATTTAGGGCAGCTGTCCTCAGGGGTCAGACTCCTAGGCAAAGCTGGACAGCATGTTATCTCATTCTTTTCCTCCAAAGTATGTCTTCGCCAACCCCAAGTATAAATTATGAACTCAGATTTTACTATTTATATCATCCAAACTTTCATTCCTTAAAAGTTCATACACATATATAAACATGCACACAAAGCCCAGTATCTAAAAATACAGTTATTATGTTTATATTAAAAATAATAAAAAATTTCATGTACATTCTGAAAGTTGAGTAAGTAAAACATTCAAGAAAATAACTAAAAGACATACACCAAAAATAATTTTAAAAAATGGTAGCCATGTTAGGGTGCTGGGATTATGAGTTTTGTTTTCCTTTTCTCTTCAAATTTTTTATGATATGGCTATATTTTACTACGATAATAATCTACGAGTGCCCATAAGAAGATACGGAGCTATTAGTCGTTCTCAAGTTAGTTTCCTCTGCAGTATAAGCAGCTTGTATCTTAACACTTCACTGAGATGGCCACAGCCAAGGCGTGGGCTGCTCTCATTTGGAGAGGAAGCAGGAGTTGATTATTGGAATTGGAGGGCTGGGGGAGGTTCCGCAGCACTGAGAATAATTAGACAGCAATAAAGAGAAGATTTACAGAACAGGATGTGTTAAGAGTCTAAGAACAAATTCGACCTACTTTCCCTTTTGCATGGGTTTGCGGAGGGCAAGGAAACATTCCTCCTTCCCCCTCTTATGTACACAGAGCAATTAGGTAAGCCTCATTATTAAGGGAATTTGTTACACTGGTGAGCAATATATCATTAGTGCTTTCCAGTACGTGTTAACAGATTGCTAGAGTTCCAGTGGCGGTGCATGGAGACCCACACCACTGGTTATTTTTCTGGATGCTCCTACGACTCAGTTTCTCAGTCTTATGTTTGGATTGCTTTGGGGGGATTCTTGGATTTTAGAGAATCAGATGAGCAAGTCGTTCTGATGACCTGAAAAACTCCCTCTTACCATGCAGTTCTCTGTTGTCAATGTCCCTAGAGAAAAGTTTAGGTACTATTGGTTTAACAAAGGGAAATAAAGATAACTCTATCTGCCTTGCCCACTCCTAGGATAAGGATTCTGAGATCCCATATAATCTCAAACCATATAACATAAACATAATTTCTTGTTTTGTTTAAAAATGTACTATATGAGTCCATTTTTCTGAAAGAACTTCACAATGTTTTTCTTTTCCAAAGACTAAAAATCCACCTTCTTTCTATTCCTAGTGTGCACCAACCTTCACATCATATTCGATAGTAAATTACTGAATTTAGATAGAAAAAAAGGAATCCAAAGTTGGGAGTGTAAGCTATATTACCCTGCTACTAATTTGCTTTATTGTGGAAAATCAACCTACTATAAGAATTCAACTATTCTGAAATTAGGTCTATTTTCTCAAAAATAGAATTACACATATCAAATATCATTATAATATCATTGTAGAATGTATTATTTTCCCAATTGTAGGCCATGCCTGTTTATATACACCAACAGGTATGAGCAGTGGTCAAGAAAAGTAAAATTCATCCTTTCCATTCCTAGATTTTAACTTTCTTTAGAATGGTTTGCAGAAAGTCTAGTAGGAGATTTACACCTTCCTATTTTATGTAAAGTTAAAAAATAGATTTGAATTCCCAAGTTTGTCAGCACACAATATAGCAGTGGGGTGGTGGTAAAAAGAAGAGTAGAAGTTAAATTAAAATGTTGCAGTTCATGATCCGACTCTGAGTTTTACACACCCTAATGCTTAGCAGATTAACTGGCACAGAGTATCTTTGTTTGCCCAACCAGATAGTTCAGTGACATGAAAAAGACTATATATTTATACTTATATCTGTATGAAAGAAAACCCCAGCTGTGTTTCCACTGCAGACAGCCACTGCCAGCGGGCATACAGGCTGTCTAACAGCCCCTGGCGCACAACTGAGCTGGGGCTGGGATCCAGCCAGTTTTCCATAGACAGGGCCACGGGCTCTGGCTCCAGGCTGGGTCAGCCTGCAGGATCTTCCTCGAGGAAAGGGTGTCTTTTTCTAATTCATATTCCAGAGGGGCTACCCTTTATCTATTTTGTACAAGGGTATTCGGTGTGTTAACAGTCCCCTGACTTAGTGATTGTATTTTGACTCAGGTGAGGTGATGTTTGAATGTCAGGAGAATGGTTTTTTTTTTTTTAAATTTCAAGGTATGCATATCTTGGGACAATGAAGGTTACACACACATCTGCATGCAGACATATATATACACACACATATGTATACACACATATATGTGTGTATATATATCTTAAATTAGATTATTCACAGGACTTTGCAAAATACAGAAGTAGAAGACTTAGGAAACCATCATTACGTGTATAGTGCTTCTCGCAGTCCAACGGAGCACTGTCCTAGGAACAGATTTCCTTAGCGTTCTTGTGGTGGGCGGTGTGGTTGGTAGGACCTTAGCTATCTTAAGTGACTTTTTTTGTGTGTTGACATGGTCTCTTTCTTTTCGGACCTTGGCCTTTAGATTTTCTCTCTTTATTACTTCTGGGAAGAGGGATGGTTTTGAGTCTTTCTCAGCTTTCACAGCTTGAAACGATTGTGATTCAAGGGCCTTGGCATGTCTTTCATTGCAAATTTCACTTGGTGTTATAAAAAGAGCTTGTATTTCTTTTTTGTAATGTGCAAATGTTACTAAATGATGTTTTTTATTATTGTTATTATATCCTTTCAGTCTCTGACAAAACTGATGTTCTAATTCTGAGTTCTCTTCAGCCTCTGAATTGAAACAAATTAAAGTGTTACTCTGCCTGGAAGAAAAAGTGAATTTATTCATGTATTTTTCATCTTCATTTGGCTTTTTGCAATAAGGAATTCTAGGACATGGCGACAACACTGCTTCAGGTTTTTCCTGTACCACCGATTTATAGATGTTACTCTGCTCTTTTTTTCCAAGGGACTTCATTTTTGGTGTCCTTTCAAAGCAAGCGTTTGATTGAGTTGTTTTTGACTTACCACTCCAACTATGCGGGTCTTGAATCTCTGTTTTAATATCAAAATTTTCTGCTTGAGGAAGCTGCATAAAGCCATGTTCTTTCCTTTGTTTCTTAAGCACTATATCTGTAAGTTGTTCTGATGATTTCTTTAATGGAATTTCTTGGGCATTTTTGTTGGAAGCAGGTTGTACTTTAATTAAAGTCGGTGTTTTAGCTCCTTTAGGGTAACATCTTTTCTGTTCTCTAATTGTTGATGGATTTTCTTTAGTATGCTGTAAGGGAAAATACTCCTTTTCTTCCTTTCTGGTCAATTCTGTTTCTATAACTCTAGCCTCAGGAACCTTTTGTAAAGCGGCTCTATGAACGATTTCTGAATATTTATTTTGCTTTTCTGAATGTTTCTCCATAAACTGATTTTCATCTCTAAAAGATAAACATGGCTTTATACATTTTAATGACGTGGAACTAGAATTAATCAAATTTATATGGTTGCTTATTCCTTCTAATTGTCTTTCAGTGATTAGCCCTGATTTTGAAAGTTTTTCTATAAAAAACCTCTGGATGTGTTTGCTTAAATCAGCTTTTGCATTTAATAATTCACTTTCTGATAAAGCTATGAGATAGTTTTGCAGGGGTTTATTTAAAGGGTATGTCATGTTTACTTCAAGCCCTCTACCAAAACTCCCCTTTGAAATATCTTGTCCTAATTTGTGAAAAGATATTGAAGCACTTCTGGTTCTTAGAGAAGATATGTTTGAGTGCATAGGTTCAGATTCTGTCTCTTTAAATAAACTGCTTTCTGAAAGGTTTTTAAGGAAATAATTTTGAAGAATTTCACTTAAAAAAGATTTCAACTTTATTTCCAAATGTTTATTTATGAAATAATGATTAAAATTATTCACAAAAGACATGGTTTCTTTTACAGTTTCTGAATATTTCTCCAGAAAAACATTTTGCCCTTTTGGTTCTGCTCTCTCATTCATCAAATACAGATTTTGATAGATTTTTGGTAAGTCCGCTTTGGTAATATGTCCTGATTCTGAAAGTCTTTCTATAAGATAATGCTGGATATGTTTACTTAATTCAGATTTTAAGTTTTTTATTTCTGACTCTGAGAGTGCTTCTAGAAATACACACAGCTTTGGATTCAAATGAGGTTTTCTGTCTAATTTGTCTGCTTTATCAAAATCCTCTTTAATTCCTTTAAGGTCTTCTATATTATTTGGAAACGGGTGTTGAATTAGTCTTTCTAATTCTTTTTCTGGTTGTCTTCTCTTTTCAGACTGATTATATTTTAAAAAAACATTAAATATGTTTTTGAAAAAGGATTTTAAAATTATTACATCCGACTCATTAAATTTACTCAGTAACAAATTATTTAAATGTTCTAAGGTAGAACTTAGATCATCTTCTTCTCTATCAAGTCTCTGACTACTACTTGGCAAATCCGTTTTTTTATCTGGCATTGATGGATACTTTGAATCCTGTGGGGATATATTTTGGCCTTTGTCTATAAATTCGACTCTATTTGAAGAAGAAGTGCTTTCTTTAGGAATGACAGGTATATTCTGCTGTGAAAGAGAATTTGTTTTCCATTTGATTTCTGAATAATCCTCTATGGAATCTTTTGGCTTTTCTCCAGCAAAGGCTGCCTCTGTATCCAGCAAAGAATTTTCCTGATACTCTTTATCTAATTCTACCACTTTGATTACCCCAGATTCTAAAAGAGCATCTACAGGAAGTGCTTGCATTATCTGGCTTGTGACAGATTTGGTCTCTGGCAATTCTATTTCATCGTTTTCTTCATAGTGAACAAGATCATTTGAAGACAAATTCTCCCAAGCTGCGCGTAGCTGATTCTGCCAGCTCATCTGTGTCTCACTCGTTTCTTCTACTCCCATCTCCAGCTTGGAGAAGGCTGGGGCAGTGAATATTTGCTTTATAACACAATCATGTGCAATGCCACTGAAACCTGGTTTAGAGCTAGATATTTCACTTTCTAAATGTTTCTTTTTAAAACTACTCTTTTTTTCCATTGGAAAAGCTATCTCACCAGCCTCTAAGTGTTCTTCAGAGACAAGTTCGCTTTCTACCTCTGGAGACGTTCCTGGACCACCTTCTGAAAGTGAAGCTGCGGGAATATCTTTAATTATTATTGGATTTACAAGACACTTTGAATACAAAATGTCTCCTTTTGAAAGCCGGCTATTTAAATCTTGGACTGTTTCAAATATTTTGTCTTCCAGACTACTTGATGGTTTATCATGAATACTTAGAAGTAGCGAACTATGACTTTTTTTTCTTGCTTCAGTGTCCACAGGAAATTCTGGTTTAGAAAATAATTTCTCTGAAAGGTCTTGCAGATTTTTACTTAACACTGACTTGAGCACCACTGATTGTTTTAAGTTTTCTATGTGGGCAGTAAGACTTAATGATTTTGAGAAATGACATGTATTTACATTCACATTTCTAGTCAGTGATGATTCTCTTTCCAAGTTTGGCAAGGATACATTTGGTGGTCTTTCCTTTAACTTATTCTTAATATCTAAAGCCTTTATTGTGGAGATACTAGGATCACAGGCTAAATTATTCTTAGTATTTAAAGTCGTTACTGTGATGATATCAGGGTCACAGGTTAACTTTTCCTTAGTGTCTACAGTCTTTATTGCAGCGGTATCAACATGAGGAGGCCAGGTTTTATCTGTAGGCCTTGGAGTTTTTGAATGTGTTGGGTAAGGAGGGTCTTGGTCTTCATGTTCTATAAGCTCTTCACTTAAACTATTTCTACATTGGGACATGTCTTGGTCCTTCCTTTTTCTGACTGACATTTTGTTCTTTATATTCCTTTGAAAAGGATCAAAACTGTCCTTGGTGTTGAAATTCTGTAATGTTAAAAAAAAAAAAAGTAAGACATTCTGTAACATTTCAAATTTATAATAGATTTTCTATCTAATTTTCTTTGAGCAATCTGTCAATTTATCTGTTCATCCTTGTGCCTTTATGAAGATAAAACTAATTTTAATTATTTATAAAATATTTGAAATTTTAATGGAAAATTTTCAGATTCCTAACTCTAATACTATTTTGTGTCCAAGAGCTTTTTGTTACCTGGAATATTTGTAAATAGTTAAAAGGCACTCACAAATAGTTTTTTTTAAATAATTCAATTTTCAGTTAGCTGCATTTGCTTAGACAATGGCTAACATCAGGATCTAAGTCCTATCCATATAAATATTTACCATTTAGTATCAATATAGGAAATTTTTAAAACTGCAAAGTATTATATGTCCAATTAAAAGTATCATAAATATTCTTTAAAGGCTGACGGGACATATGTCATCTGAGAATTTCAACAGTGATGAGTTCCACTCAATCTTTGCACATAACAATGAAATCTTACTTTTTGATGAATACTATATACATCTCAAAAATGGTTAAGATACAGCACTCTACAAAATTCTGGATTACAGTGAAGTTTCAGTGTAATATCCATAGGCAGTTTTGTAGCTCTGAGATTGGATTAGTCTCTCACTGAAATAACCTTCAAAATGAAGTTTCTTATTCAAACCCTTTGTTCATACAACTACTACATCATCCAATTGAAAAAAGCAAAATGTGAAATGATCAGCCTAGGATATATTTTAGCTTATTTCACCTTAGTAATTCAAGCTTCATTTTAATGGATATAATTCACTATAACTGGTTTCCAAATGGTAGTTGACACCCAGGCGGCAGCATAATAATCCCCTTGGGTTTTTTGAGAAGTAAAGATTCCTAGGCTCTCTTTCCAGACTGAGATTCATTTAGTTAGAAGTGAGACCTGGAAATATGTATGTTTAAAAGATAGCCTGGTGTTTCTAATTGGTAATTTAGTTTTGGAGCCATTGAATCACATAATATATTAGAGAAACTTAGTATTTAAATGTGAGGTGGGACACCCAAAAAACTGGAATTATCTTCTGGAGGGCAGGCCCCTTCTAGTACAGGCTTCCCCCACTGGGTGAGTGTTCTAGGAACCCCTCTGTATCAGTGTACCAGCTGGCGTTGTTGTGAGAAGCTGTATTCAGTTTCAGTGAATTTTTTTTTGAAGACTCTTTCAACGCACTTCCCGATTTCATGATGGGTGATTTGTGAGCACACCTGCCCACGCTATGCAAAGTGTGTAGCGGTTTTTGACCAAAAACTGACCCCTATGCCCACCCTGCCTGTTCACCCAATCTCACCCTGAGTGATTTTTTTTTTTGTTTGCTTCTTTGTTTCTCCAGATGAAAAAAGTTCTTAAAGGAAAATGTTTTGCCAATGTGGAAGAGGTGAAACAAAAAAAACAGCAGAAGCAGTAAAAGGCATCGAAATGGATGACTTCAAAAACTGCTTTGAGCAGTGGGAAAAAACATCTCTATAGGCATATTGCATCAAATGGACAGTATTTTGAAGGTGACTAAAATTTAAACATGTAAGAATAAATACACAATTTTTATAAATAAATTCTGGGTTTTGGGAATCCTTCTTATATAATTGGTATGGGGATAGGATAACTCAGCACTCACCTGATATTTTGGTTTGAATTCTATGTATTCTGGCCTCAAAGATGGTGCCCTGTATCCTTTTTGTGAAAAAGCCACCTTATAAAAAGAGAGGTTTTGAACAACAGTTAAAAATATGTTGACAAAAAATAAATTAAATACATGGAAAACAAATAAAAAGAGGTTTTTATTTCTGACTGCTTGTAATAAAAGGGTATTTTCCAAAATAATTTATTCTTCCAATAGATATTAAAGATAAAAAATCTTTGAAACCTAAATAAGTTTCTCATAACTACTATACTTTCCCAAGTATCAAAACCAATCTGTGTATATAGATACACAGACATATATAATCTTAGCATCCTTGATACTGCAATACTTATTCCACTGAATTGGTAAGGTCAAAATGATGCACACAACTTCAAGAAGAAACAAAAGTAGAAAACAGAACTGTCAGAACAAATTGTAATCTAATTTTAAAAAGATTGTGAAATGCTTTAGATAACAAATGGCATCTGTTATTATATTGAAATAGCATTTTCAATGATTCTCAGCCTGTAATTGTTAAATGGGTACTTAACATTGCCTAAGAAAGCACTTGCTGCCAAATCAAAGTTTATAGAAACAATTGTAGAATCACAGACCCATTGAATTTTTAGAGATAGAAGGCACTGTAGAGAGAATTCAGTGCTACTCCTTGTTTTACACAAGAATCTGAAACTGAAGTTTGTTGCTGCAAGTGACCCAGATAATTAGAAACCTCTATCCTAAGTACCCTTCCACCACATAATCAAGACTGCAGTGAGGAAGAATGGGGCTTTGGAAGCATCACAATGTGCAGATGCACTAGCAACTCGTCTAGAGAGAACTTGACTCTCTCTTTGTTGCTGGCTGCTTGGACCCTTCAACACTGTTCTCTTTGGCACACACACAGCACACACTGCTGCTGCTTTCCTATGCATTATCTCCTTTAGTCTCTAGAAGGTCCATTAAGTATCAGGTTAGCAGAAATAACAATACAATGAATGATGTTTTTGTAAGAAATACTTTTAAAAATTGTATCTTTTTTATTGAGGTAACATTGCTTTGTAACATTATATAAGTTTCGGGTATACAACATTATTATTCAACATCTGTACATGCTTATAGTATGCTCAGCACCAAAAGTCTAGTTTTCATCCATCAGTAATGAATACCTACCTAAGTGTTCATTATTATTAAGCAATTAATAACATGACTTTATTTTTAAATCTTCAGTGGCTTCCCACTTTTGCTGTTATTCATTGCCCTCATATACTGACTCTAAATTATTTCTGTAAGTTTTGCAATATTCCCCACCCTACTTCCTCTCTTCCAGGAAAATGTGTCTAACTCAGAATTCTTGAAATACAGCTCATACATTTCCACATCTGCTGTTTGGCTCATTTTGTTTGAATTTCCCAAAAATCTCCCTTAAATTCTAACATTTGAAGGTTTATTGTTTTAAATGAATTAGCAGATAAATTAAAAATACATGAAATATGTATGACAAGAAAGTAGAAGAGAAAGTAGTAGAAAAATACCTCATTTTTGTAAAATATACAAAACAACCCAAAACTCCCCCTTTATATAAGCATAGAAAAATGTGTAAAGGGATACAAGATACTAACATTGTTTTCTCAAGGGAGTAACTCTGCAGGAGAGGAAAGAAAACACTCTTTTACCCTGTTAAACTCTGTGTTATTAATTAGATAAATATATAATACTTCTGTCAATAAAAAGCTCCAGTACAGTTTTACTGGAAGGAAATACTCTAGGTATTCATTTCAGGAAGATAGAAAGGACAATAAACCAATCTAGGAGTTTCAAGATAGTAAACTGAATGGGTTTACTCTTTCTTACTTCCCAAGGTTCAAGTAAATTAACATAAAATAATACATGTATTTTTAAATTGCATGGCAATATGAAAAATTAGTAAGGCAAGGCACTAGGATTCAGAAAGTTGAGAAAATTCAGAAAATATGAAAGCAGATGAGGTTGACTTAATGGAAAACCCCAATCAAGAAAACCAAGCCTTACATACAGAGGGCCGGCCCATAGGCATATGAAAGGATACTCAACATCACTTGCCAACAGAGAAATGCATATTCAAACCACAATGAGATACCACTTTACACCAGTTGGAATGACCATTATTAACAAATCAACAAACAAGTGCTGGGGAGGTTGTGGAGAAAAGGGAACCCTAGTACACTGTCAGTGGGAATGCAGGCTGGTGCAGCCACTGTGGGGAACAGTATGGAAATTCCTCAAAAAATGGAACTGCCTTTTTGATTCCACTGCTGGGATTATACCCTGAAACTCCTGAAACACCAATTCAAAAGAACCTATGCACCCCTGTTACAGCAGCATTATTTACAATAGCCAAGTGCTAGAAAACAGCTTAAGTGCCCATCAGTAAATGAGTGGATCAAAAATATGTGGTACATTTACACAACGGAATGCTACATAGCAGAAAGAAAGAGGGAACTCCTACCTCTTCCGACAGCATAGATGGAACTGGAGAGCATTATGCCAAGTGAAAAAGCCAGTGGGTGAAAGACAAATATATGATCTCACCTATAAGTGGAACCTAATCAACAAAACAAACAAACACACAAAAAAGAACCAGAGGTATGGAAATAAAGAACAAACTGGCAGAGACCAGAGGGCTGGGGGGAGTGGGATAACAGGGAAAGAAGGAGAAAGGTTGAGTCAAGGAACATGTGCAAAGGATCCATGGACAAAGACCATGAGGTGGGGATTGTCTTTGTGAGGGTATGTTGGACGGGGCAGGGGAGAGCAATGGGGGGTGGAAATTGGGACAACTGAACAACAAGAAAGGAAAGAAGAAAGGAAAGAAGAAAGGGAGGAAGGGAGGGAGGGAGGGAGGAAAGGAGGGAGGGAGGGAGAGTAGGAGGGAGGGAGGGAGGACAGAGGGAAACCAGAACCTTAAACAGCAGAAATCAGGTGGGTCTGAGAAGCAATAAACTCAAGGCCTGAAAATACAAAGCAGGTCAGATGATGATACAACTGTCATAGTTATTAATTTAAGTGCTATATTTGGAACAGCTGGATCACTTGGACCCTTTTCCATCACACAGAGCACACACTGCTGGCAGCATTGCCTTTCCCCAATCACCGACCAAACAACAAAAAATCCTGCTCTCTAAGGAATGCGTGCCTCTGCCTAGGTGGAGATCCTACTTGAGTTTTGAGTCTTTACAGAGAAGCAGAGTAGAGCTTGCTGCCGCTCACATTTCCACATCAGATAACTGAAGGAGAATAAAAAGAAAGGAAAGGAGGTTCCATTCAGGAGAGAAACACATTGGTTCTTTGGAAACGTTGCAGGGTGCCCAGCTATGTGCTGCCCTCTTCCATCCCACACACCCTTCAGGGGAGCCTGCCTGCCACGCCGAGCAGACACCTGTACGGCCAGCATAGTCACTCCTCATTCCCAAGGATGAGCCAACAAAGTTCACCAGATACATGAAAAATGTCAACACACATAAGTGAAGAGTCAATAAGAACAAACAGACTAACTCCAGAGTAAATAGAGATATTTCCGAGGGAGGTGGCTGGAAGGAGGGTGACTCTTGGAAAAGAATCTAAATAGTATCCTCAGAGATATTCAAAAAGTATTGATTTCCACTTAGCTGGACAGCAGGCGCCTCAGAGGTTATGTAAACAGAATAGTTTTATAGATTACCACTCCACTTCGCTTCCCCCCAAAAAATCCACAACTCTTGGCCTTTTTCTATTTTTCCTTCTCAGTTAATAGTGTTATTATCTACTGAACTGTTAGGCCAGAAACCTGAGAATCGCCTTTTATTTTTCTCCTCCTTCTGTTTTCCCCATCAAATCCAGCATTAAGTACTAAAGCTGCTACCTTCAAAATGTATCAAGTGTCTAATCACATCTCACAATCAACTCCACACCCCTCGTAGTACAAGCCATTATCATCTCTCCAAACAATAGTCTCCTATCTAGTCTCTTACACCTTGTGACAGGGACTGATAGTTGCCTTTCCCAAAATACATATTATCTCAAAAACCTAATTTCGGGCGTGAGGTGGGGGGGATGACAGAAATGTCCCCTGCTAAAAAAGCTACATGTTCTAGCCTCCTTCGAAGACAGGAGTGGCTATGTGACCCAGTCCTGGCCAACTACGTATAATTGCAAGTTATTAGGAGGAGCTTCTGAGAGAGAATCTTATAGCAAAGGCAGACTCAGGTGACAAGTACCTGATTAATCCTTCTCCTTTTCACTCTTCCTGCTTGAAATATGAGGTCTGTCTGGAAAATGTCCAACTATTGTTAACATAACAAGAACAGTTTGTAGAACATTGATGTAACCTGGCAGCCAAGGAGAGTGGACTGGAATGTGCATGCATGAACAATGGCAACTTCATCGTGCTAGTCATTGGGGGCTATAGACACTATCGAATGAGCGTGTGTACTGCGTGGCCATTGCATTCAAAACGATCTAGCGAGTAGAGCAACGAATCTGCATCAAATTTTGCGTTAAGCTTGAACATTCCTCTGCAGAAACTATTGCAATGATTCTGAAGGCCACAGCTATGGGCAACTGGTGATTGGCAGCTTCATCATGACCATGTGCCCACTTATGCATTATGTCTCATGCAGAGATTTTTGGTGAAACATCAAATCACCCATGTGACTCAGCCCCCCTACAGATTTGGTGCCCTGAGATTTCTGGCTTTTCTCAAAACTAAAATCACCTTCGAAATGGAAGAGACTTCAGACCATCAATGACATTCAGGAAAATATGATGGGGTAGCTGATGATGGTGACTAGGAGAACTATGTGAGGTGTCAAGGTGCCTACTTTGAAGGGGACCAAGGCGTTATTGTCCTATGTACAATGTTTCTTGTACCTCGTATCTTCTTTAATAAATGTCTCTATTTTTCATATGTCATGGCTGGATACCTTCTGGACAGACCTCGTAGATTGTGATGCCTTGGGGTATAGAGCCCATTTTATGTTATCTACAGTAACAAGCCCACGCTGAGGATAGCTGTCCAAAAAGAAAGGGAACCTGGGTTCCTGATGACATCATGA